ATTTATTATTTATTATTTAGTTGGTCCCTTTTTTCAAATTATTTAACTCGGTGGGAGTTACAAGGGCGTTAAAATTTAAGGCCACTCTAAGTTTATGACCCCGATCATTTTTTAACTTAATTTAATATACTTCCTCTATTCTTATGAAATTAATTTTTAGCTGAAAGTTTAGAATTTTATTTTTTTAGAAAAGAAGAAAGAAAATTTTTAGTTAAATAGTTAAAATACGGAAAAATTATAAGAAACATTTTTTGTAGGAAATTTAATTTAATATCTCTGATATTTTACTTAAAATTTGAGATTTAGTCAAAAATAATAAATATTTCAATTTTAATATTTACTATATATTTTACTCGAAAATCAAAAACAGTTTTTTTTTTACGCCGAAAGAAAAATTTCTTGACTGGAGAACAAAATTCTTGGCTCAAAAAAATTTTCAGGTCTGCCTGAAGGAAGACCGAAGTTATGTTTAATTTTCTGGAACCGGGTTCGAATCTCGACAGAGTTAAAAAATTTTTTTTAATAATCTAATTTATTTTAAAATATTGGATATTATTTAAAATACATTTTTATTCTCAAAAAATCATTCTAAAATTATAAAAAAAAAATATTATGAGCGTGTCTGACTGGCGAGTGCCGTAACTACTTAAGGAGTAACGAGTGGTCGCGAGGAATCGGGATTCGGTGATACACAAGATCGGTTTATTAACCAATTACCGATCGGCAATTGGCAATTTGAGTACGAAGGACAATAATACAAGGCTCGAAGACGGAAGTGAAGACAGAGTTTGAGGACTGGAGCCCGGGAGGGGAGAAAGAAGATGAAGAGAGAAGAAAGAGATTTAAAGATGGAGACGTATAGGCCTTTGGCTCGTAAAAAGTGCTCCTTCGAAGTCATGAATATAAATTTATGATAAAGCATAAATGAGAATTTGTTGGGTACGCTCATGTCCGTGGTCTTTGCGGCTTCCCACGTTTTTTATAATTTTAAATTGCCCGCCGAGAGAGTGAGATATAATAATAATAAGGGTAATAAGTTAGCGTTTTTATTTTTTTTTTTTACCTATTGTTCTAATTCTATTGGCGGTTATTTTCTATTGCGTGAATCCTGAAATTTTATTAAAACTACACAAATTTTTCGGCGGAATCCCAGGATCTTTCGCTCGCGTGACGCTCGCGATTACGGGAACTAACGAAATGCCGACGCGTGCGCGCTTTGTTTAATTTTAAAGTTAGGTTTCTATTTTTTCTATATTTTTTTTTTTTTTTAATTTAAGCAAGACTTTTTTTATAAAGTTACTCAGAATTTTTAATTTTTATTTATAATTTAGTTTTTTACTTTGGATAGAAATTTTGGCTGAAGGATAAGAGATAAGAAAAAAAGGACAAGGACTTTTTTAGTAGAAAAAAAAAATTTTTGATACGAAAAGTTTTGTATAATTTTTCTGAATTTTTAATATTGGAGCCAAAATTTTGCACAGAAAAAAAGCTTCACTTGAGCCAAAAAAATATTTTTCTTCCTAATTATTTTCTTGAGCGAAAAAAATTTTTTTTTGACAAGAAATTTCACTTATTCCAACAAAATTAATTTTCTTGCTTTAACAAATACGTAGGGTAAATGCACCAATTATTGACCGATTAAGGTTTTCTTTTTCTGTACTAAGCTATAAAAAAAACTATTAACTTATTAACTACAATTTGTAATGGATTTTATTAAAGTTAAATACTTAATTAATAATAATTAAGAACTATTTATAATAAAAATTAACAAAATTATATTAATTTTGTTATTAGAATCTTGAAATACTAAAATCACCAATTACTGACCGAAGAAACCCAATAAAAGACCGACCGTTCTCCAATTAATTGACCGCTCAAATAATTATAAGTAATTTTGTAAACTACATGTATGTAATTAAATTTATCCAGTACTTTTGAAGTATTAACGACATCTTTAACAAAACTAAATATACAATATAATTTTAAATCGTACTTTTTTATAAAATAATATAAATAAATAATCACAAATAATCAAAAATTCATTTTGATGACGATAATTCTTCTGATTCACTTGGAATTTTTTTATTCTTCTTCTTCTTTTTTTCAATTAAAGCTTTTTTTACTAGCTTGTAACTCTTTTTTATTTTTTTAATTACTTAGCAATTTTTTCTTCTAATAATTCGTTCTTTGATATAACCGTTCACTAAAAAAATTAGAACAAAATAAAATTTAATAATCAAAAAAGATTTTAAGTATTATTTTAATTATAAATATACATTTTATAATGATTATTTTTATATTTATAAAATATTGAATGACTAAAGTACTTTAAACACTTGACAGATTTAATTTTGAGATTAAGAAGTTAGTATTATAAATATACGGTCATTAATTGGATTGTGATAAAATCAGAGGGTCTAATTAATGACCGAATGAATTTTTTACTGGGTAAAGGGCTTCTGACGGATCCAATAGTTGACCGGTCTTATAATAATATTAAAACTTATAATTTAACTTTATTTTTTCAAAAAAGTTAGAATCTGATCTTTAATTAACATAATAAAACTAAAATATTTTATATTATGCCGATAAATATCACTAAATTAATAATGAAATGCACTCACTCTCCAATTGTACAGTAGTTATTTTTGACCGCTTTATGGCTGGTTCCGTTGTAAACAAACTCAGAATATTTTTTTAAAGCTATAATCACTGCGCAATTATTTGCGTAATTTTTTATTATGATGATTAAATGCCATATTTTTTTATTTTAATCCTTTAAGAAAAAAAAACCCTTGCAAAATATTAATTAATTAACTTTTTTATACATCGGTCAACTAATTGGTAACCGGTTAACAACTGGTGCATTTACCCTATCTTGATCCAAGAAAATTTATTTAAGTCAAGAAAATCTTGTTTTGAGAAAATTTAGCCTCAAGCTCCAAAAAATTTAGTTCTTGATAGAAGTAAATTTTTTTATCTTGAGAAAATTTCTCTCTTGCTCCAAAAAATTAAATATAAAGATAGAAATAAATTTTCATTAATATTTTTATTGATTAACATGTCAAATGGGAAGATCAAATATTTTTGGGATATTTTTTCGGATTATATCTAGTGTAATCTTATGCGGTATATCAAGAAAAATTACTGGGTAAATCGGATATTACACTGAGTATAATTAAAAAATAATTTAGTATAATCTGGATTATATTTGCTATTTATCTGAATTTTTTTTCACCACAGATATCACTTAGTATAATATGAGAGGATATCTAATATCATTTTGTTTTTTCCGTGTAAAAGAAAATGTAAAGAAGAAATATAACAATGAAAGATTTAAAAAGAGGTTAAAAAAAATATCGTGAATAATAATACTTGAACTGTTGTAAATATTAATAATTATCGGTTGTAGTAAGTTAACATACTAAATAATTATCTTAAAGACCCAAAATAATAACCAGGCAATTTAAATAATAAAATAATAAAACAAATTATTGTTATTTGACTTGCTGGACAAAACTGTTTGACGTGCAAGAAAAAAAATAATTGGTAAAAAGTATAAAGAGCCTTTTACTCTTAATCGGCACACACTCCTAGCTCGAACCCCATATATGTTTTATATATATACTGTAGCGTGCGTGCTATGTGTGGCTTCGGCTTCGGGATACGTATAACATATCAGTACTCGCTTTAACATACGGATAACACAAGTTACTATCCATGCCAATACACAAAAATTCATAGAAATTTTAAATTTTAATTGTGAATAAAATAGTGAAAATACGAAAAAACCATAGGATGTCTTTTTACAGGAAATTCAATTTCCTACAAAAAAGGTCCTTGTCAATTTTTTCGTATCTTTAATTTTATAGATTGATACCGTAAAAATTGATATTATAATAATTATTACTAGCAACCTTATAGTCATTATGTGTTAAGTTGCACTGTATTTTCTTAAATATTGACGTTTTTAAAGATATAAGCTCATCTCGATGTTACACTCATCGAGAGCTTTCATTTGAGTACCCACATGCATTTTGATATATTTTTCATATATACATATACATAATAGATGTAAATATATGAAAAATTGATGTGGGTATTCAAATGACAGGTCTCGATTAGTGTAATGTCGAGGTGAGCTTATATCTTTAAAAATGTCAATAGTTCACAAGATACAAGATCATTTCTTAATTATTGACATTTTTTAAAATGTAAACTCATTTCGATGTTACACTCATCGAGACCTTTCATTTAAGTACCCACATGGCATTTTTCATATATTTTATATATATGGTATTTGTGAAATATATAAATATATGAAATATATAAAAAATTGATGTGGGTACTCAAATGAAAGGTCTCGATGAGTGTAATGTAGGAATGAGCTTATATCTTTAAAAATGTCAATAGTTCACAAAATACAAGGTCATTTCTTCATTATGTATCTAGAAATAGAGCATTTTCAATTGCAGCCTAAATACTTATCCTGGACACAAAATTTTTCTTATTCTCTTAATAATATAGATTATAAAAAAAATATAAAAAAAAACTACTTATACTAATTTTCCATAAAATTTATAAGGGTAAGTATATAATACACTTATAAACAAGTGTAGGTAGTTATTATTATTAGGGTATAGGGATGGAGTTAAAGATCAGTAGCAAAGCAGTGGAAGCATAAGCATAAGCAGAAGTAGAAGCAGCAGCAACATCAAAACGTGATCGTGTGTAGTTGATCGAGTACTTTGTAGTCGAGTAGTATCAAGAGGGGTTTGTCGACTACTACTTTCGCCTGCCTTGCCTTGATCAACTAAACCGACTACTTCATACTCAGTCTCTTCAAGTCCTTTATGCGACACACATCATTTTACTCAAGTACTTGGATCACCACGACATCATTTATTATTTTATTGGCTATTATCGATTTATTGATTATTAACTATTAACTTTCGGGTGTTTTGTCCGCCAATTGCGTCTGAGGACTAATAACTACTGAAATGTTGATGATTAATTTACGGCTTGTTATCGTGACTATTATTCTGACGCAGCGCAAGTATCTCAGTGCTAGGGGTGAAGATGCCTTACAAATTCGGCAAACCTTTAATTCTAATAATAATAATAATAATAATAATAATAATAATAATAATAATCGACGTGATAGTATTAACAAAACGGATATGTTGTATCCTGAACATCAAATACCTGCTGTTATTCAACCTGGAAATATATCCAAGTAAGTTTTTAATTATTTATAATTTTTTAGCATTAATTTTATGTTAAAAAAAAATTTAGAAAATTTTTTAACAAGTGTTAATTTTGGAAAAATAAAAATATTTTTAAAAATTTATTGGAAAATTTTGTCAAGACAAAATTGGATATTTTTTTTTTTAAATGCTAAGTAAAAATTTTATTTAAAAAATTAATATTTAAATTTAAAAAAATGTTTATCATTTTTTAAATTTAACAAAAATAAATATTACAAATTACTTTTTTTTTTAATTAATTTAATATTTAAAAAATTTACTTCAAATTATTAAATAAAATTTTTTAACAATCGTTAATTTTGAAGAAATAAAAATATTATTAAGAACTTTATAGAAAATTTTATTTTGAAAAAATTAGATGACATTTTTTTTTTAAATGTTTTATTTAAAAAATTCACTTAAAATTATTAAAAAAAATTTCTTAGCAAGTGATAAATATTTCAAAAATATTCTTAAAAACTAAGAAAAATTTTTTGTTTTAATAAAATCTGATATTTATTTTATAATACTAAAAATTTCATAAAAAAAATTTATTTTACAAATAAACTACTACTGTAATTTTCATAAAATGTTTCATCATTCTCAAAATTGTAAAAAAATTTAATATTTCAAATTACTTGATAGATAATTTTAGTTAAATTTATATTTAATTTTCCATAAAAATTTTTTTTTATTTCTTCACAATAATCTCATAACTTTAGCTGATATTTATGATTATTATCATCTTCTATTTTTGTATCTAAACAATTCAGTAACTTAATTTAACTACAAATTAATCTTGTATTGTTTTGTAAATTTTACAAAATTTTTATATTAACATTTCTTCTTAAATACATTTTTGCTCACGTTCTTTCTATTAAAAATGTACAAAGAAGAAACATTTCCTTACAAATGACATAAATTTAATTCTATTTTCTCATTATTATAAAAATTATATTAAATATAAAATTAGAAAATTTTATTCTCTTCTTTTAGTATACAAATTATATCAAATTTTATAATTAACACTTAAGAAATTAAATAGTATAGGCTATACCAAAAAATCGATGTATATTTTCAATTTTTGTTAATTATCCAGTCAAAATTACATATTCTTTCAAACATACAAAGAATTTCTCTAAAAATTGAATAAAATCTGACATTTTGTGACATATCCAGCTTTAACCTCTAATAACTTTTGAAAAAATAAATTTTTCAAAATATGATAAGACCTTTTTTGTAAAGCGTTTAATTTTCTACAAAAAATTTCTACCACACTTTCCGTACCGATGCCTGTAAAACAAGATATAAGCTTTAAAAGATTAAGAATGTATTTCTTCCCGTTATTTTAATAAAAAATACAAAATTTCAATTTTTTAATTTTAAAAATCAATAATAAGGCTTAAAATTTTGACAAGATTTTTTTTTTGACAAAATTTTAAATTTTTTTAATACACCTTAAAAATATTTTACAATTTTTTATCATCCTAATATTCTTCAGCAATCTAACTATTTATTAATAATTTTCTTCTAAACAATAATTTCTCTAAAAATTGAATAAAATCAGGATTTTTATTTTAACAAAATTTCAGATCGTTTTTTTTTAAGACACCTTAATAATATGTCCCGTATTATTAATAGTATTTTAAATAGTAAAATAGTATTTAAAAATTTTTTATCATCATAATATATCTCAGCAATCTAATTATTTATTAATAATTTATCTAAATTATTAAAAAATAAAAAATTTGATAAATTAAAAAATTAAAAATAAATATAACTCTGCACGCATAGCCTTAATTCATCTCTTTTTATTTTTTCCTTAGTAATTAAACTACCTTATTAATTTAAAGTAATTAAATACAGAAATTTTATTTTATATAGTTATATTTTTACGTAAATTTCTCATCGTCAAAATTTTCAAATCTGTAAAAATTGAGTAACCCTGTTATTGGCTGTTTAGGCTGTTAGGTTTCAAATAAATAAAAATTTCTTCCCTAATATTTAAAAAATTATCTCAATAATTAAAAAATTGAAAAAAAAATTTCTTCTTTCCTGAAACAATAAAATCAATTGAATAAATAAATAAAGTTATTACAATAGAGTGTATTACTGACTTAATAATTTAGCTAATGTACTAATGTAAGTAACCGCGTGGCTGGTATGACAGAATTCACGGCGCGTGTGTAAACTCGTCTGGTCTACGTTGCGCGGTGCTCGATTTAGCACATGGGGGTCGCGAACACCACGACCCCAGACGCCACGACGCCGGCATTGTGTCTCCTCTCATCTCTTTACTTACACTTACATTTACACAGATCCATAGAGATCTATCTCATCTTCATCTATATATACTTAAACTAAGCTCTGCAACGCTAATTTTACAATGGAACACACGTGCAACGGCAACGTCCTCAGTCCTCAGTCCAAAAAAAAATAAATAAAGTTTTTTCAATTCTAAACTATTTTTCTTCTTTTTGTTTCTCCAATCAAAATGTCGCGCTGCCGCTAAGCTGGCTCACTGCCGGTACGCAATCACTCTTCCGCCAATCACGCCTTTGTCATCTTCTTCTTCTTCTTCTTCTTCTTCTTCTGCTTCTTATTTTTCTTCTTCTCTATATTATAAATAAATAATTTATTATTTGTTATTTATTATTATTTGCTAAGGACTCGATTTTTAATGCAAAAACATGTGTACATGCATCCGTATATATAAGATAAACTCATACGAGGGATCTCGTGACCGAGGACCACCCAGCGCACGAGCTCAGCTCTTTCATCGGCTTATTAAACTAGGCCACGAGCCACGTATTTTAGTTTACTTTATTTATACGGTAAATGATACACTAAATTGTTTACTTTATAAACGCAAATGTTCTTTTTTTTCTTCTGGATTCAATGAAGATCATTCATTGATTCAAACAATTTTTTTTTTTACTTACTTCTGTAAATATGTGAAACTTTTTTCATGTTTTAACCAAGAAAGCTAAGATTTTTTACTTTAATTATTTGATGAGCTGATTTTCAAAAGGATTTCTTTTTGTATTTTAAAAGAGCAGTTTTTTTAACTTTTAAATATTAATTACTTCGAGAATTACAAAGATTTTTATAAATAAAAATCGACTTATAGCTTCATTACCGGTGGCACTTTATAGCTAAATTAAAAAACTTCAATAAAAATATTCATAATTGAAGATAACCAGTTTTTTGTCTCGATTAATCAAATATGAAAAGATACCCTTTTAAAACTCAACTCCTCAATTGTCTTAAGGAACTTTAAGGTAATTTTTTAGATAAGATAAATTTTATTTCTTCTTTCAAAAAGTTTTGTTAAAATTTTTTAATTTTTCTGGTTAATAAAATTAAATCACTTTTTTTAATAAAAATGTTTCTTAAAGTTTTTTGACTCAAACTCATTATAATTTCTTGTTTTGATAAATTAGTATATCTTAGTTCAAGAATAGTTAATAATTTAGTTCAATTAATCGTTTTAGATTTTATGATAAATTTTTCATAAAAATAAAATTTTATTTCTTCTTTTCAAAGTTGTTTTTTCAATCAACAATTTCGTTAAGTTTTCTTAATTTTTTTTGTATAATAAAATTTATTATTAAAATTTAAATCATTTTTTTTTTTAAATAAATCTCTCTTGAAGTTTTTTTATTTCATTAAATTCGTGGCTTAGTTCAAGAATATTTTATTTTTAAGCTAAAAAAATTTATATTCAAATTTAATCAATTATTTTGACAAATTTATTCCTTAATTCAGAAAAGTGAGATTGAATTTTTTGATAAATTTTTCATGAAAATAAAATATTATTTTTCTTTTTTTATTAAAATTCCTTAATTTTTCTTTTTTAAAAAATTTACTATTAAAGACCTATTGAAATTTTTTTATTTCATTAAATTCGTGGCTTAGTTTAAGAACATTTAATTCTCAAACAAAGCAAAGATAATTTATATTTTTGATTAATTATTTTGGGAAATTTATTCCTTGATTCGAAAAAATGAGCTTGAATTTTTTAATAAATTTTTAATAAGAATAAAACTTTATTTCTTCTTTAGAAAAAATTTTTCTTGAATTAAAAATTCATTAAAAAATCTTAAATTTTTCTATTAAAAAAAAATTAAATGTCAATTTTTTTTTAATTTCTTCAATATAAAATAATAAGGGAGAAAATATTTAAATCCACTTTTTTATTAATTTTCTGTAGTTAAAGTTAATTATAATTTATAATATTTATAAAAAATAATAAAATCTAAGTAGTAAATAATTAAGTTACTTAATTTGATTATTATCTGCAAAGTAATGTCGTACTGGATCCAGCTGATGTACTTTTAGGTTTTACTATCTCAGTCACAGAGACGGGCATCCTCTTACACTTATTGTCACACCCTGCAGTGGAGCTATTGAGTGGACTGTCAACTGCCTTGAGGCACCACCGGATAATCGGCAAGGCGAAGCTGAATGTAAGTTTTATTTACATACTTACTTTTTACAACTCAGATAAAAGATAAATTAAGAAAGCTCTTTGCGAAATAAATCTAGTTACTTTGGATCGCTGTGAGTTTATAATTTATCTGGAGTTTCCTTATAATATATTTATTAATTATAATTAATAAATATATTCATCAATAATTATTGATGAAAAATTATAAATATTTTTGTGTGAAAAGCCAAAAGGGCGCACAAAAATTTTTTTTGTTTAATTTTTAAACTTTAGATAAGCATTTTAATAAATTGCTGAGAAAAAAAATTTAACAATTTTAAAAATTTATTTTTTTAAATAAATAACAATAAAAAAAAAATTCTTTTTAATTTCTTCTTATCAAATTTTATTATTTAATTTTTTTATAAAGTTTTTAATTTTTTTATATATTAAATTGGAACAAAAAAATATTTTTAAAAAATTGCAATTAAAGTTTCTTAAAAATAAATTTTTTTTCAATAAAAATTTTTAAATGTCGGCTAAATTAATTTTCATTTTTTTTTTTTTTTAGTATAATTTATTTTTTATTAATTTTAAAAATTAAAAAAATTGTTAAATGTCTATTATTAAATTCAATTTTATAATTAATTTTTAAATGAAATTTTTTTTAACTTAATCTAAAAAAGAAGAAATGTGTTAAAATTTAATAAAAGTAGTTAATAATTAATAATAATAATAATAATAATAATAATAAATATCTGAACAAAATGAATAAACATATCTGTACTGACAAAACAGCAGCAGCATTGACACGATGGCCAGTAAACGCACTTATACCGGGATCACCGTTATTCAGCTACCAGGGCGACGAGGCGCAAAACTTTACAATCCCGCGAGTCCGTGCGGGACTTTACAGACTTGAGATAAAAACTAAAGATGTAACTACCGATGCCAACATTCTTGATAGATCGCCGAAGACGGTCTTGCTCTACGCAACCTCCAGTGCTCTGGACCATCTCCCGGTCTCTTATGAGAGCTCTCGCGGGAAACGACACCGCGCACTTAGATTTCAGCCAAGAAGAAATCGACGTCGGCTTACTGTTTCCTGGAGTAAAAGGTATTTTTTAATAATAATAATAATAAATTTATTATAAATATTGATAATAATGAAATAATTATTTTTTTTTAATTATCATTATTATTATTTCTATTATAGAAAATTGGAAACTATCAATTTGATAATAATAATGAAATTAAAATTAGCAAACACTTTATATTTTTATCATTATTATTAATTATTAATTTAAGTAAAAAAATATTTTTAAAAAATTGCAATTAAAGTTTCTTAAAAATAAATTTTTTTTCAATAAAAATTTTTAAATGTCGGCTAAATTAATTTTCATTTTTTTTTTTTTTTAGTATAATTTATTTTTTATTAATTTTAAAAATTAAAAAAATTGTTAAATGTCTATTATTAAATTCAATTTTATAATTAATTTTTAAATGAAATTTTTTTTAACTTAATCTAAAAAAGAAGAAATGTGTTAAAATTTAATAAAAGTAGTTAATAATTAATAATAATAATAATAATAATAATAATAAATATCTGAACAAAATGAATAAACATATCTGTACTGACAAAACAGCAGCAGCATTGACACGATGGCCAGTAAACGCACTTATACCGGGATCACCGTTATTCAGCTACCAGGGCGACGAGGCGCAAAACTTTACAATCCCGCGAGTCCGTGCGGGACTTTACAGACTTGAGATAAAAACTAAAGATGTAACTACCGATGCCAACATTCTTGATAGATCGCCGAAGACGGTCTTGCTCTACGCAACCTCCAGTGCTCTGGACCATCTCCCGGTCTCTTATGAGAGCTCTCGCGGGAAACGACACCGCGCACTTAGATTTCAGCCAAGAAGAAATCGACGTCGGCTTACTGTTTCCTGGAGTAAAAGGTATTTTTTAATAATAATAATAATAAATTTATTATAAATATTGATAATAATGAAATAATTATTTTTTTTTAATTATCATTATTATTATTTCTATTATAGAAAATTGGAAACTATCAATTTGATAATAATAATGAAATTAAAATTAGCAAACACTTTATATTTTTATCATTATTATTAATTATTAATTTAAGTAAAAAAAAAATATATAAATATATAAAATAAATGAAAAATTGATGTGGGTACTCAAATGAAAGGTCTTGATGAGTGTAACATCGGGATGAGCTTATATCTTCAAAAATGTCAATAGTTGACAAGATACAATGTCAGTTCTTAATTATTGACATTTTTTAAGATATAAACTCATCCTGATGTTACACTCATCAAGAGCTTTCATTTGAGTACCCACATAGAATTTTTCATGTATTTTATATGTATGGTATTTGAGAAATATATAAATATATAAAATATATGAAAAATTGATGTAGGTACTCAAATGAAAGGTCTCGATTAGTGTAACATCGGAATGAGCTTATACCTTTAAAAATGTCAATATTTCACAAAATACAAGGTTATTTCTTAATTATGTATCGAGAGATAATTTTCGAATGCAGCCTAAATACTTACTATAATAAATTGACTATCGGTGAGAATGATATATGAAACTTTGAAAAAGCACAAATTCAAGACACTAAATTTTACTAAAAAAAAAACCGATTTTATCATATGACTATCTTGAACACAAAATTTTTCTTATTTCTCTTAATAATATAGATTATAAAAATTTTCAGATGTCAGCTAATTTAATTTTTATAGTTGATTTCAGTGCTATATGTAATTTTATAAAAATTACTTTTTACAAACTAATAAAATAAAATTAAAAATTTTCATGTTTATCAATAATAACACACAAAAAAAAATATTTTCATCATTAATAATGCTTTAATCAAACAATTATAACAACTTACTTAAAAATTTCCAGCCATGTAGATCCACACTCGTCCAACTACTGTCTCGCAGTGACTTCTGGAGGCAGTCAGCACCCACCAACTCTCTGTGCAGCCCAAAATCTTCTAGAAACCCACTCCCGGCCGACAAAAACCTACGGTTCCTCCAGAGAACACCAGCACCGCGGAGATCCCGAGGGTTTGCATTGTTTCAACCAGACGAAGCTGACCCTTCATGGCCTGAAATACAACACCACGTATGACTTCACTCTTTATGTGGTTAGTATTTTTTATTTTCTACTTTTCATACTAAGAAGAAGAAGAAGGAATTTATTTTTCTTAAATTGGGATCTTAATTTTCAAAGGTGAGCACGAGAAATAATGTTTCAACTCGAGTGTCCACGGAGTCATTCAAGTTCCGACGAACTCCAGCCCAGGTGTTGCGAACTGGTCGTTACGTCACCGCTAATTTGGGAAAATACGACGGATTCATGAATTTCCAGTACCAGCCTCCGCACAATGGAACCACGGAGTTTTATATTTTTCCTTGTGGAGGAGGAATTGTGTGGGCTAAACTTCGGGGGCCATCTGGAGTTATCAAGGTAATTTTTTTTTTTTTTAGACACAGATTTTAAATTTTTAATTGATAAATTAATAAATTGAAGAAAATAAAACAGCAATAAAATATTTTGTAAATACCTACACGAAAAGAACAAGATGACACTGGGTACCATCCCAGATTATACTCAGTGATATCTAAGGCGAAAAAAATTTCAGGTGGTAGCTAGTATAATCCAGATTATACTGAATAATATCTGGATTACACTCATTGTAATCTGGATTATACTCATTGTAATCTGGATTATACTAGCTACTATCTGAATTTTTTTCACTCAGTATAATCTGGGATTATATCCAGTATAATCTTGTTCTTTCCGTGTAATTGAAGAAATAAGAAAGTAATTTTAATTAATTTAAATATTGTTCAAATTCATTTTTTAATAAATGATGTTCACAATTTATTGAATAAATTTTAAGATAAATAATAATTAAGAATTCTTATACAAACTACAATTATAAAATAATATCATTTCATAAACTTAAACAATAAAAACTTAATTGGTAAATTAAATTTATATAATTATAGCACATTGATTGAACAATTCAAGTAGAATATACTTCAATTAGCAAACATTAATTTTAAGTTAAGGCATTTTAAAGTTAATGTTGTTTTTTTTTTACTGCTAATCTTTCTGAATATAGATAAGGTAAAAGACCCAGTTATTGACACTGACCTAGTTGTCTGACACTTGCAATTTTATTCTAATTAAAAAAATAAAATGTTCTCAAAAAAAAAAACAATTATCCTGAAATTTATAATTCACGAATTATATTTATTAATTTATTAGAGTTGATTTGTTTTTTTTTAATTAAAATGAAATTGCAAGTGTCAATAACTAGGCCAGTGTCAGTAACTGGGTCTTTTAACTTGTGTGAATATATGAAAAAAAAAATTATTTAGTATTAAACAACAATTAATTTTATTAATTTATTGAATTCTTATTTCCAGAAAAAAGAAGTAATAGGACACGCTTCCTTAAAAGCCCCGTCCTTAGAACCAGGAAGCCGCTACACCCTGGGAATCTACGCAACTCCCCAGGAACTGACAAAAGTGTCGTCTGTAAAAGTTTTAGCCACTCCAGAGGGTTCCATCTTGTATCCCGAAGTAAGAACTCTGAAAGAGAAAAATTCTGGAACCAAGAAAATTATTTTAAAGAACTATCTTCTTGAATCAAGATGAAAAATTATTGAATCAAAATTTACTTAAATTGTGCTTGAGAAAAAAGTATTGTTGCTGTAAAGAATTGGTATTCTTAATTGAAGAAAAAAATTTACTAGGAGAAAAAATACTTGTTTTTATTAAAGAAGAAATAAATTTGGGGGTCAATTAGTAGTTTAGATTAAATGTGACTTTTGAAAATATTTTTAGTAATTATTTACAAGTGAGTTAAACCCATTTTGGGCCATAACTAGATGAAAAATTAATATTTCCAAATTTTTTTTTATTCTGCTTGTTTTTACGGCGCATTTATGATAAAAAATGTTGTGGAAGGAAAAAATAAAAATTTTGATAGCTTTTTTGTCTTTAAAAGTTGGAAAAAATATTGTCTTTCATATTTTGGATAAAATTTCTATTTGATCTTTTTTTAATAATATTTTTTTTTTAAATATATAAAAAAATAAACAATTTAAAGAAAAAATTGATCAAAAAAATTTCTATGGCCAAACTTAGGGCAAAGTGGGGTTGACCCCACTTGTAAACAATTACCATTTTTTTTTATAGTATTTTTTTTTAATTTTCTTCATAATAATTCACTTGTTTATAAACTTAAAAACTTGTCAGGTGCTTGTTAATTTTGAAACAATAATATTTTTTTTTTTTTATTAAAGATTTAAGGTCGCTTCAACAAATGGGTCATTAGTGACTATTATATACATATGATTAAGTAATATATTTACAATGTCATTCTATAACCCTGATTCAGAAAGATAATTTGAAATGATTACCTTCATGTTAATTGTATATCTATATTTTAATTATTTTAAGAAATTTTTTTACTTTATTGAAATTATTACAACATAATTAGGTATTAAAATAATTATGTTGTAATTTATAATATTTTAATCAATTTATAAAAACTAAAAAGAAGAAAAATACTTTTTTTTTTTTTCAATAGAAAAAAAATTGATAAGTTAAATAATTTTTCTTCTTATAAAGACAATGTAGCTTTTGAAAATGATTTTCTTGATTCAATAATTTTTCTCTTGAACCAAATAAATTTTTTTTTTAATTTTAACTTTAATTGTACAAAAATGACTGATAATTATAATTACTAAGCAAAAAAAAAATCTGTTGAAGCAGGTTCCCACAAAAAGTCTGCCGCGGGAGTATCGATCGCTCCGCAAGTGCCACGAAGTGACAGTCGGCGTAGAATCAGCGGGGGCGGCTAAATACTGCGTCCTGGTACGGGAGTTACGAGGCTCGTCTGCCGCGGGGATCGCGAGCATACCTGACCAGTGTGGGCTCCACCGGCGACGCAGATCCGAGTACACTCTGGAGCAGTGCGAGGACAGGGCGAATCCTCCCGACAACCGCGCGCTTCTCTTCACCGTGAAAAGACTTCAACCCGCGAAGGCTTATCTTCTTCAGATTACTGCCCAAATAAATGGCCAGTCGCTTTCATATCCGCTTATTGATGTACACACTCGGAGATGTCAGCTCTAATTAATTAATTAAATTAATTGATAATAAACCTTGTACATATTTTAAAAACGTATGCATGTATATATCAAAGTGTGAATGATATTTCTTCTTTATCGCTAATGTGTAATGTATTTTTTTACTCCGTTGATCGTTACATCTAATTGAATAATAAACGATTTATTTATTTCATTTATTATTTAATCCAATTTATTGTGAAGATTAAATTATAAGTTAATAAATTTTTTATAAAAATTAAGTTTGCTGCATTTTTTTTTTTTAAGATTTTATTTTATTTTATTTTATTTAAATAAAAGACCCAACAGCATAGGCCATCAACAAGGTTAATAATTACAATACTTGGTACATATAAATTTTATGATGTATAATAAGATGACTTATAGCTTACTAGCTTACTATACTTAGTAATTCAATAGTTAAATTACTAAATAAAAAGTTTATTGATGTGTTAACAATTGCAACCTAAGAAGATAATAGCAATTAATAAAAATAAAATAATAATAATAATAATAATTTTGACAATTAAAACAATTAAACAATTGCACACGTATTTTATAAATTATTAGGAATATCTTTGAATAAATTATTCAATTTTCTTTTAAATAATGAGAACAATTTTTAATTAGTAGAAAAATGTTAAATAGTTCTTGAAAAAAGCAAATTTATAAAATGTCAATAATTTATAAATTATACAATTATTTTTATTTATTTTCTTCCCTATACCGTCAAAATACTCTGTTTGATAGTTTCAATAATTAAAAATCATTTAATTATTTATGATTAAATTAATCAATTAATTTTACTAAAATTAACAGCGAAGTTAACCCATAAAATTCAAAATTCTTCTATTCCATAAAAATTATAAATTTTCTTAAAAATGTAATTAAAAATTCAATTAAAAAAAAAATATCTTCTTAAATTATAAAACAGTGAATTTTAACATAAATAAAAAACTTCTCAAATTTTGATCAAAAATTTTTTTTAACTCAAACAATTTTTTGTAAAAAAAATCTTTTTTCAAAAGTATCTTCCAAATTATTAAATATTAAATTTCAATATTAATGAAAAATTTCTCAAATTTTGACAAAATTTAGATCAAAAATTTTTTTTTAGCTTAAACAATTTTTTTTATAACAAAAATCATCAAAATTGTAACTTAATAAAACTTAAAAAAATTTTTTTCTAAAGTATCTTCCCAAATTATTAAAAAATAAAAAAATAAATTACAACATAAACAAAAAATTTCTCAAATTTTGATCAAAAAATTTTTTTTTCTAACTTAAACAATTTTTTTGATAACATAAATCATTAAAATAATAACTTCATCTAAATTTATTTCAAAAGTATCTTCTCAAATTATTAAACCATAAATTTTAACATAATTAAAAAATTTCTCAAAATTTGACAATTTTTACAAACAATTTTTTTAAAAATATAAATCATTAAAATTATAACTTCACAATTTTTTTTTTAAGTATCTTCCCAAATTATAAAACAATAAATTTTACTGTCTAAACTCTTTACTATAAATTAAAATTATTACACTATAAAGTGACCCTATTACTGGCCAGTAGGCTGCTGGAACTGTAATAAATAAATAAATAAAAATTTTTGACAATTTTATTTTTTTTGTCAAAAATTATTAAAATAAAAACTTCCCAAAAAAATAAATAAATAAAAAAAATTAGCTAATTTTATTCAAAAAATTTTCCACACAAATAATTCCCATAATTTAAAAAAAAAACTTATCACAAATCGATCACCCACTCAACTAAAAGCAACTGAAGCGTAAAAATGTTCATATGTCGGCTAACTACCACATACTTATATAAAAAAAAACTTTTTCTTCAGTAAGTACCAGTAGTTCGCAGTTACCAGAGCGCAGTTACCCACACTCGCTCCTTAGAAATTCCAGATCCGTCCGTCTTATCTATTTCTGTCGCGTTTACATTTAAATTCTAAAATGTATAAATCCAGCAAGTGAGCAGAACAAGAAACTAACAACTTAGTTAAACATTTTAGCAGCAGTTGCTTTGATATCTCCCAACCTCGCGTTTAATTAAAAAAAAAAAAAAAAAAAAAAATGAGTGTCGCGTTCGAGGAAGATTTCATCCTCCTGCAGGACGAGTTCCGGCAAGTGATCCAGGCGATAGCCTGGCCGGTAATAATCGTGGGCATCTTGGCGAACATTGGTGTGGTGGTCAGAATCGTCATCCCGCACAGGACGACGAACCGGAGCAACTTGAGACCCTTGTACCGATCTTCCTTGGTGTCTTTGGCAGCCGCGGACTTGTTGATGCTGACCACGACGGGTACCAACATCCTGGCGAACGTCTCCGGAAGAACTCACCTCTGGAAGCTTCCCTCAAGCGCCTGCTTCCTGATTCCGTTTTTGCAAACAGTGGCGATGATTGTCACGTCCTTGAACCTCGCATTTGTCGCAACTGACCGGTTCCAAGCGATCAGGGCCCAGGTGCCGCCTTCATCTGCAAAATCTCCAAGCTCCGTCGGGTTCTTAATTGCGACGGTGGTCTTCACGTGGGGCATCGCCTTGGGCTCTTCTTATCCGGTCCTGAACATCTACAACACGGAAGCTGTTACGATAATAAACAATTCGACGACTTACCCGTATGTTTTATTTTATTTTGTGATTCTTATATAGGTGCATTGTTGGGGAATTACTTGGTAATTATTGTTGTTTTAAAATACAAATTTAGAGCAATGCTGTGCCTCGTCAACGATCGCCAGTCAGCGACTACTATTTATACAGCCTTGTTTACTGTTATTTTTCTGCCGCTGGCCGCGGTGTTTATTGTTGTATACATTCTACTGGCCCTCAATATTCACAGGAAGAAAATTGGCAACTGTCAGGCTTCTGAGTCGACTATTAGTCAAGAAATTTCTACAGGTAATCCTTGAAGAAAATTATTATTTTTTAATTTTTATAAAAATACAATTTAAAAAAAGTTTGGAAAATCCAAAAATGCACGCCTTATAACGCTCATTCATTTTTGAAAAAAAACAATTGTGTAATTGATTTAAAAAAAAAAAAAAAATTAGAAAAATGGTTGATCCTGAAGGCTATCCCTGCAACTTCCCGCTAATTCCATACCTAGGCGCTTAAAATTGAACTTATGACGTTTTTGAGCTCTTCGAGCTCAAAAATCTTATCACAATTCGATGAAACACGATTTTTTTAATTTTTAAACTGAGCGAGAAGTTAAAAAATATTAAATAATTTCTTATAGGGTAAATGCACCAATTATTGACCGATTAAGGTTTTCTTTTTCTGTACTAAGCTATAAAAAATCTATTAACCTACTAAAAACAATTTCTAATGGATTTTATTAAAGTTAAATACTTAATTAATAATAATTAATAATTATTTATAATAAAAATTAACAAAATTATATTAATTTTGTCATTTGAATGTTGAAATACTAAAATCACCAATTATTGACCGAAGAAACCCAATAAATGACCGACCGTTCTTTTAATTAATTGACCGCTCAAATAATTATATTATAAGTAATTTTGTAAACTACATGTATGTAATTAAATTTATCCAGTACTTTTGAAGTATTAACGACATCTTTAACAAAACTAAATATACAATATAATTTTAAATCGTACTTTTTCATAAAATAATATAAATAATAGCAATAATTAACATAAAGTCACATTTCTTTAGGTCACAAATAATCAAAAATTCATTTTGATGACGATAATTCTTCTGATTCACTTAAAATTTTTTTATTCTTCTTCTTTTTTTTTCAATTAAAGCTTTTTTACTAGCTTGTAATTCTTTTTTATTTTTTTAATTGCTTAGCAATTTTTTCTTCTAATAATTCGTTCTTTGATATAACCGTTCACTAAAAAAATTACAACAAAATAAAATTTAATAATCAAAAAAGATTTTAAGTATTATTTGAATTATAAATATACATTTTATAATGATTATTTTTATATTTATAAAATATTGAATGACTAAAGTACTTTAAACACTTGACAGATTTAATTTTGAAGTTAAGAAGTTAGTATTATAAATATACGGTGATTAATTGGATTGTGATAAAATCAGAGGGTCTAATAAATGACCGAATGAATTTTTTTACTGGGTAAAGGGCTTCTGACGGATCCAATAGTTGACCGGTCTTAAAATAATATTAAAACTTATAATTTAACTTTATTTTTTCAAAAAAGTTGGAATCTGATCTTTAATTAACATAATAAAACTAAAATGTTTTATATTATGCCGATAAATTAATGATGAAATGCTCTCACTCTCCAATTGTACGGTAGTTATTTTTGACCGCTTTATGGCTGGTTGCGTTGTAAACAAATTCAGAATATTTTTTTAAAGCTATAATCACTGCCCAATTAATTGCGTAATTTTTTATTATGATGATTAAATGCCATATTGTTTTATTTTAATACTTTAAGAAAAAAAAACCCTTGTAAAATATTAATTAATTAACTTTTTTATACATCGGTCAACTAATTGGTGACCGGTCAACAACTGGTGCATTTACCCTACAAGAAAAATAAATTTCTTCAGCTAAAGAAGAAAATTGTTAAAAATTTTAATTCTTGTAACAATAATCCTCTCTTTTCTCAAAAGTAATTAATTTTTATATTTATTAACCATCAAAATTTGTATTGTTAATAACTTTACACCCAAAAACAATTACAATTTAAAGAGTTAATATTTTTAAAATAATTATAAGACTTATTACGATTAATCTCACTAAAAATAGTCTAATTAATACATTTAATAAGTTTTTAAGCTTAATATTCTACATTTAGGCTGAAAAAATTGAATTTGTGATCCATACAAATTATAAATTAATTGTACGAATGTACGGAATGTTAATTTTCTTAAAAATTCTTGAAAATATATATTTTATGTTTAAATAGAATCTTTTATCAATTAAAATTCTAAAATTGTCCCTTAAAATACAAATTTAAAAAATCAAATAAATCTCAGTCACTTTTCTTTAAAATATGGCAGCTTAATAAAATCTTCACACCTGAAAATAATTGTAATTAAATCAATATTAATAAAATTTTCCAGCATCAACAAGTATGAGCAACAACGGCCCAAGACCAGTGAAGAAAAAAATCCCGAAGCACGTGATGCGTAAGCGGCGAACAGTCCGAGTAATTCTCACCCTAATCGGCGTGTTTGTTTTGTGTCGCATGCCCCAGTGGTCATTTCTGCTGGTTAAATTATACGTGAAAGTGTCCCATAAATTCTGGTGGCATTTGCAAGTTGTTTTGACATTACTGTCGCTAATAAATGCCGCGGTGCATCCGTTTCTCTACGCGTTTCTCAACGAGGCGCTCTCTCTAGTCTCCTGGATAAATTCTCTGTGTTTGAAGAAAACTACGGAGGCTAATTCTGTTCCTGAAATTATTAGTATTAAAATTCCACGTGGCCCTTATGTTAATTAAAAATTCTATGCATCGAAATTAATAATTAATAATTAATAAATAAATAAATGTAGTCATATATATTTATATTTATATTCATAAATAAATAATTATAACTCAGTCTCAATAAGTTTTTTAAATTTTTCACCGGGACTGCCAGCTGGTTCATGTTCTAGCAACTGAATAGCGCGTTCCAAATTGAGCCGCCGATCTTCCCCAGGGCACGAAGCGAGCTCTCGTAATGCGACCGCTGTATATAAACCCAGTCTTGTTCCATAAGGATCTAGGATTGATGTCGTATCTAGGATGCGCAAACACAACTCGCATTTTTGCGGATTATCTGAAGATTGCAGTTGGATAAGTGAGTGAGCAACTGCGATACAATGTTGATGACCGGGATGAAGAAGTACTTGCAATCTGTTTTTTATTAATTAATCTTGTATTAATTGATGTATAGGCATTAGGGTAGCCCAAAAATTATGAAAATATGTTGAATTTTCATATTTTTGGAAAAATCTATAAGATACATTTTTGTTAGAATTTTAATTTCCAACAAAAAAGGTTTCTTGTAGGGTAAATGCACCAGTTGTTGACCGGTCACCAATTAGTTGACCGATGAACAAAAAAATTAATTAATTAATATTTTACAAGGGTTTTTTTTCTTAAGGTATTAAAATAAAAAAATATGGCATTTAATCATCATAATAAAAAATTACGCAATTAATTGAGCAGTGATTATAGCTTTAAA